GGCACAACCCTCGCGACTTACTTTTCTCTTTCCGAGCACAGTATTCATGCATGCACAGTTTCTTCCTTCTCCCTTTTGTCGAGGCAGGACCAACCTTGTTTTGTTTGAGCGAGAGGGAAAAGGAAGGAAAAAGATTATGCATATCAGAGACGGAGGACTCTTTGAAGAGCTGTTTCTCTTCGCCGTCGTCGTCGTGAGCATTCGAAAGGAGAATTATTTGGATTTGCAGCAGCGGCAGAGGAAAGAAAAGCAGTAGCTTTGATGATTATGACGCGCGATATAAATATTAAAGAAGAATGGCTTTCAACGAGAATTTTCCGTCTGCTGGCTGAAACATTAAAATGGAGCTCCTCAATCCTCACAATATTTTTTTAGCACCTCCATATAATTTTTTTTTCTAAATTACTCGACGTTCTCCCAAAATATATGCAAATCTTCTTGCTTTCGCATTTGAAAATGAAAAAAATCAGGAACAAATATTTTTTTAGCGTGAAATATTTTCCACTTTTGTTAATTTCGAAGGTGATAAATTTTCTCACAGTCTCGTTGGCTTTTGCTCTCACTTCTTGGTGTTAAATTAGGACCAGAGTCGCGGAAATGGTAATTGGGGCGGTGGTAATTCAAAAATAATATTTGTCTAATCGCAGGCTGGCTGGCGTGCGCGGGTGGTGCTTGAGACTGGCTAAATATTTGATTAGCCGGCGCGCGCAAATTGTGAATTTGTCAGAGTGTATATTATTGCGAGTGTTTGCTTTAGCGTGCGCGATGATTTAACGAAAATTCTCTGGCCGGCCGCACCGCCAAATTAAAATTTGTATTATTCAGCGGCAAACCTGAGCCAGATTACACAAAACATGAGCTGTTAAATGAAAAGAGCCTGGCGCGGCCGGCGCCACTGCGAAATTAATCACGTTCTTGCGAGTCTACCTGCTGCATGGGAAACCCGCTGGAAACATTCGTTTCCAAAAACCGTCCACCCAGAACGGAAGCACCGCCACAGATTCTAAGAAGAATGAGGGTCTTACAAGAATAATTATAATGGTGAGGCGATTGAATGGGCTTTTGTTTTTGTTACTACTCCATCGTGATATATTTCAATGTTTTAAATAATAATGTTTAAAATTTTAACCAAAGAAAAGGAACAATACTCTGACATACTAAATTCAAAAAAGGAAACAATTTAAAAAAAAAAGTGCAAAGTAGTACTGTTTTCTTTCTGAAATTATATATGTTTGCATGGAAATCGAACATAATAAAATTTTTCCCTGCTCATGTCTAAAAAAATAAAATCATCCTTCTGCTATTAGCACAACATGAACGTTAAGCATCTTCTTTCCTTTTTATATCAACGCCACCCTGTTACTGAATTTCGATTTTATTAAGCTGCGACTTTTCGGCCGATTTCCCGCGTGTTCAAATTTCAGCCCTGTGACATGTCTGGAGGTGGGAGTGGAAAATCGCCCCTCGGCAGCGCAAGTAAGATAAACCAGGCCAAGATCAACTGTTGTCACTCTGACGTTTGGCTGCCGAAATCCGTTTTTATGCGTCCTTTTTTTATATTTCTGGTGCACGGCCAGTGAGACAGGTGGTTTGGATGTGGTCCTCTCTCTCTCTGTGCGAGATTTGGCGGTGCACCAAGTTGCTCTTTAATGAGCGAGATTTTATCAAATCCGCAGCGGCTCGACGAGGTGCCAAAGTTTTGAGATTTATCTTTCATCTCTCAGTTAAGGCGGCGAAACAGCTCGTCTGTCTAAATGGGCTGTCAATCAGCCTGCGAGGTGCATCGCTCTTAATAATTTCAAGCGGCGATAATTACGCGTGCCGTGTTGCCCGTCTCGTTCCCTTTCTTCGTCAGAGCCATCAGTCGATATTCCGACCCGTGACCTTAGAATGGAAAACGAAGCTTCGCAGGAATGAAAGGCGGCCATTATTTGTGCAAATTGCGCCGAGAGTAAACAAACTTCGCTTTGAACCGTTGGTTTCTTTGGCTCGCAAAACAATTAAGTGTGGCACTTTCAAGAAAAAAGCCGAGCAATAAAAAGAAGGGGCAAAAAAAGTATTTACGATCACGGAGACGGTTTGCGTCTTGACGAGGGCGAGAGTCGGTTTGGGAAAAGTTTGAGGCAGCAAGGAAATTAATAGCTCGGCTAGGTGGTCATGACGCTTACATCTGTACATGCGCGACGAGACCATACCACATCTTATTGCCTCCATATAATTGCTCAAAAATCAGCGCGCGATGAATTTTTCTCGCAGGCCTTTATGTCCATCAAATATAACTAGCTCTATTAATAAACACTTCTGATAAAATTTATTTAATAAAATACACGAATTAGCAATTTCTTTCAGTGGATCTAGATTTAACAAAAAATTGGATTTTTTTAGGTCAGTTTATATAAAATAACAGACAAAATTTTTTTATGAATATCTCTAAAGAACTCTGAATAAAGTCCTCGATTTTTTTTTAATCTCTCTTCAATACTTTTCCTGCATTGAGCAACGCACTTGAAAACAAATGCAAAAAGGGACGTTACGCTATCAAAAATCGATCACGCTCCCCCGACGGACATATTTCCCTCCCCGATAATGAAGCTCTTGTGTTGAGGCGCTTGCATACATTTAGCGCGAATCCCCAATTGGAATATGGCAGAGAGAAAGAGAAAGAGAGAGAAAAAGTCGCTCCTTTCGGTGGCTTTTAAGCACGAAGGAATGGAGGAAAAAGCAGAGGATGAGCTTTGAAATCCCGCGGGAGCGAGGTGTGAAATAAAACAAACGACTGCAGTCAGTCAATGCTACGAGGCACTTGAGCCACTTTTCAGCCGGTTTTCATTCCAACTTGTTGTTCGGCGAGGCGCCTTTTCATCGCGCACAGCCGAGCTTTCATCTGCGGCAGAGCAGAGGGCGAATATCGTGGCGCGGAGGGAAAGAGGCCCAGAAATAAGCCCCACACGTGCGCTGGTCCGTCTCGGACAGTTTGGACGCCTCCCACGCCGAAATAGAAATAAAGAGAGAGGCAGTCGTAAAATTTCCGAGGCACAAAATGAATGATCAGCATTCAAAATTTACTCTGCCAAATCGCAAGCAGATGCCTGAGTTAGAGTCGTAAAATGCCCGCCAGCAGCCACAAACACCAAATAAATATTCGCGCCGTGTCACGTCTTTTCCCTGCGCAACAGGCCAAATAAATTACCCGCTCGATTCCACCTATTCGTTTGCTGCCCCCGAAATGAGTGAAAAGAGCTCCGTCGCCGCAGCCGCATTAGGGCTTAATTTGATTGACAAAAATATACACTCGTTAACTGAAGACCTACGACCGGCGAGTCCGGCGACTTTGGCGACACGCACAAGACGCTCTTCAGACCCATTACGGCTCGTTTCATCGGACACCAACGATAATTATCTTAACCTGACTGCTCTGGAGGTAAAAGGAAATAATGCCGTTGGAAACTTCTGACACGGCATATTTCTGCTGCCGTGCTGTGCCAGTTGTTGCACTTTGTGATCAATAAAGCTGATTTGTGTGTAGAATTATGAAATTTGATATCTCCTTTGAAATAGCATCAAAAAGTATCAAGGATATTGGCAATAAGAATTATCTGAAATTTTGAAATAAATGGAATTATAACAGGCCTATGTGAATTATTGATAAAAATTCATATTTTTAGAAATTTTAAAAAAGTTTTTTTAAAAAAGCAATTAGTGACAAACAATATTAAATTTCTCTTATACTATTGGGAAACAAAGTTGTAATCAATCAAAATGTCAAATTTTGTTCAAACAAGAATATTGAAATAAATATTAAGAAATATCATAAAACAATTTATTTTAATATTCTCAATTTTATAACCCAGGGAATAAAATCACCATTTGCAATGAAAAATACGTGGAGTATAAAAAATTTATGGAAAATTCAAATACGAAATCCAATTTGTTAATCTCAATTAATTTATTCTCTAGCAACAAGTCAAACAGAAACGCCTGTCTCAAACTGTCTCCTCTAGAGTCCATTTATTGCTTAAAATAATTCAGAATTTGGAATTTGTAATTTATGCCTTGATAAAACTGAAGCCAATTTTGCAGCCCTCCAGTTCATGTGTTTCCGTTTTGTTGCCGCGATGGCTTCGCGAGCATGTGCGATAAACCTGTTTAATTCTCGATTTTAGGAAAATGGCACGAATCCGGCGCCGAGACTAAGCGAGGAGAATGATTCACAAACACATAAGGGATCGTTTCGTGCTGTTGCTTTTTCGGTCGAGCGAGCAGAAACAAGAGGTCCGACTGTTGGCGCTGGAAGCGCAAAATTTCCGAGTGCGTTGTTTGAGTTTGGTCGCGAGCTAAGCCCCGTCGGATTATGCTGCTAAGTGCTTTTCTGTTTGCGAACCGCGCGCTCAGCCGAGCCAGATCGACGAAATCGACAGGTGGGCGGGCGGCCGCTGATCGGGCAGGAGCTGGAATTGTTTGATTTGCTGCAGCCCCGCACTTTCCGAAAACGTGCGCGTTTGAATTATTATCCTGGTGCTGTGAGTACGCACCGCTGCCCACCCTCGCTTTTCCCGCCAAACGCAGAAAGATCGCCGCTTTTTCAATATTCATCACGATGGATTTCCACCTGTATATATTCATGAATGAGAGAACCGCACAAGCCTGAAATTAAAATGGCAATTTACATATATCATGGAGTCGCACGGAGTTAATGAATTTTCATAAATATGATGACAAGAGATGTTGTTTTATTAAAATCAAACAAATGAAAACAATTTTCAACAAATCGCTTTAAAAAAGGCAATTGGTTGGGAAAATAAAATCAGACGAATTCATCAGATTTTTTTAAGAGAGAGAAAGCAATTTAAAAATAAGGCAATTTGTTGTGAAATTAAATTGGATGAATTTATAAAAATTATTAAGAGAACCACAAACTCAAAAAATCTGTTATTTTGGCATAGCAGTGAGAAGAAGAAAAAGACAGAAAAAGTGAATTGTGAAAAAGAGGGAGTTCTGACCTGTCTGGAGTAAAGATCAAATCCAAGGGGAGACGGTGACATGGAACCCATCTTGGGTTGCGCGGGAGTTAGGATGGATTCCAAAAGGTGGAGGCCGCCGGTCGGATCAACCTGAAGGGGCGGCTGGTGTTGAAACAGCACCTCGGTGGCGGGTCTCTTCATCAGACTACCTGCGGGGCGGGCGGGGGTGGGCACACACATACCTGCAAAAACACAAGTGCACCATTTTTAGCAAACTGTGCCCTGAACAAACACAGACCAAAACCACCAAAAAGGGAATCGGTGCGGATCTTTTGCAATGGGCGGCTGTCATGCAGTTGAAAGGACATCAATAAACTCGATTCGGAAGATAATGGGTCGGCGGCGCGCGCGAATCGTTGGTGAATGAATGAATGTATGATTTGGTTTCCCGTGATGCGGACGATTTGGGATTTGCATGAAAATGGCCTTTAAAAGTGAAATTCAATATTATTTGCCTGACGAATGTCAAGAGCAGGATCGATGGAGCTTAAATTTGGCACTTGTGAAAAACAATACCATGATATATATTCTGATAAGCCATGACGAAAATGAATTATTTATGCATTCCAATTATTTAAAATTTTGCTCATAATAAAACATAATTTGTTATGCAATGGAAATCATTCAATTTTAATCGACTTGGAAGCAGACTTTTTAAATGAATAAATTAAATTAAATAGCACTCATTTTTATTGTATGCATGTGTGTGTATCAAGTTTGAGAGCAGAGTGATGTCTCATGTTTGTGTTATTGCGTTGCAAGGATTAATTTTCAAATTTAAAGCTTCATTTTATTAATTTTTTTTCCAAATCATTTTTATCAATTCAAGCTAATTATTTAACTATTCTGGACATCAAATGAAAGTTAAAAAAATTTCATCCATCCATTTCTTCCAAGCATCATAAATTCAGATTGCAAAAAGAACCAAAAAAATTTATGCAAATTGGAATTTTCTACGTTTGTTTTCCCTAAAGCATCGGAATGCTTTCTTTTTTTTATGAGGTGTCTAATTGATCGAGCGAGCGTCTCTCGAGCCACTTGTTCTTCTCACACGCCGCTTCCGTTCGAAAATAGCCACCGCGGTTGGTTGATCCGCAGCACGAGAATTGCGTGTCTCCCTAACATTGTCTGCAGCCGGTGGCTTTTTTCACGATTACTCAGTAATATAAAATAAATGTTTGCTACTTTCTCAGCCGCAATAATTACTAATTAAAATATGCAAATTCGTGCGCGATAAGAAAAGTAGCGAGAGGCCGACTGGAAACAATTAGAGAATCCAAAGTCGTGACGAAAGAAAGAAAGAATTTTCCTCCGTCCAGCGGCATAGGATGGATCGAGTTTCGCCGAGCGAGGTGCAAATGCCGCTGAGACGACTATTTCGGTGCAGGGTGGTGGGCGCGCGACTCCCCTTCGCACACCCCACCCGCGGCACCATCCCTCTCTTTTCTGCAGACAGGTGCATCCTGCCAATATTGGTGTCCTTCCCAATTAGTCACCGCGAGCATAAAAAAGTTCACGCGCGGCAGGAAGAGCGTCTGCGTTTACGACCTTTTATCTCGTCCGCGTTATCTTCTTTCTGCGCCTCCTTCACATTTTTTTTTCTTTCTCATGCTTATAAAACGATCTTCTTTCTCACTCGCAATCAGGTGCACGGCAGACAGACACTTTCTTCACAAATGGGCGGAGGGGAGCAATTTTTATGACAACACACGCGGCGATATTTTTTCCTCTGTCAACAGCAAACACAGAGATAGGCGCATCTGCCCGCTTTTCTCTTAGGTAAATATAGATTTGAAGTCTTACGCGGTTTCAAGTTTCTCTATGAACTGAAATAAAAATTAAAAGCTTCGATTCGTCTTAAAAAAAAATCATTGAATCAGAAATAGATCTGAGCTTAGGGATGAATATTTTGGCTCGAGTTCCAAATCCACCTTGAAAAAATTGGCCGAAAAATTCCATCCAGGTTGATGGTTTTATTACCACGATTTGAAACACTTTTTAAACTTATATTTTTATCTCTTTCAACGTCTGTGAGTGTCTTAGGAGCGACGTGGCTAATTTATGCGTGGGGCGACGAGTGACAGTGACAACAGTCATCTGTCAGCCGACCATTTTACTCGGCGACAGACTGGTGGAAAGTAAAAAAAATGCGGCGCATCTTCCTCTCTCGCGAGAAAGTTGACCCGACGTGACTCGATCGTGACCCGGCACTTGCCCGCGAGATAGGCAGGCAAATTCCATTTAAATTTCTAGCCGCGGTATGTTTGCTTCTTCTCCCGAGAAGAGAAAAAAAACTCGTTAATGAAGCGACGCGATTCTATTATTTGACGATGGGTTTACATCATTTGTTGCTTTGTTCGTTCTTTCAGCCGATAATTACTTGAGACGTCGCTCTGTTTGCTTTTTGCATTTGTCACTTCTTCTAATTGATATATATCGAACAGTTCGAAACAGAGTTGCAGAAGGAAAACTGCTGCGGCAGAGAAACCCAAAAGGGGCGTTAGTCGCTGATTGTGCGATGCCGTTGCAACTTTATCTCTGCAGTGCGTGAACAGTTTATAGCGAATGTGTGTGTGCTTTGAATGACGCCTTCTGCCGAGGCTTATGGGGCAAAAGGAAAAACTTTTATCAACAAACAGTTCACCAAGCTTTAAATACGCTCGCGTTTAATCATTGCTCGCATTTGGGCCAATTAAACGCGCAGCTCGATAAGAAACTTTATTTTATCTCAGAAAATTAAAACAAATTAAATTGTTTTGATCATTTTTTTACTAAAAAAAAAAAAAATTAAATTGCTGAAATTTGTATTACCATTGCAAAAATTGGTATTTATTGGAATAAGATTAATATCTTGTTTAAAGAAATTGGCACATGACGATTATGAAAGTGAAAGAAAAAGGAATTTGTCCTTGTTGAAAAATTGTTTTTATTAAAAATGAAAACGGCTAACAGTGAGTTACGGCTAATCTGAGTTTTGGCTACGGTCTACGACCCTATATCATGAGCAAGAGAAATACAACAAAAAATCAGCAATTTGAAAAATAATTGAATTTTAAGAAATATTTAATAATATCCAAATAACAATTTAAGCAGGAAATAAATAAAAGATTAATCAAAATGTTTTCAAGAGCAGGATAGGATCTAGCAGAAATCCTGATAATTTAATGTACTTAAAAGAAACTCAAGCGTATCTTATCTGTTATCTGTTTTACATTAATGACTTTAGCTACAAGAATTTACATATTTCTAATTTAAAAGGCAAGTATAATGCATACAAAGAAATCAAGAATTCATAAACAAACTGATCACAATAATAAACGACGATAAAAGACAGAGTTTCCTCACTTTCGCTTTATATTTAACGATAAAATTACTCTTTTCTATAAAAAAATTTATTATTTTATTTCACGTCAAATGATGATTTTAAATTCTCTATTTAAAAAAAGTTAATTAAATCACGGAGTCGAAATAAAGGAAAAAATGATACAAAAAAAAAAAAAAAATGTTGATAACGTTACATTTTACCACCAAGGATTGACCTTTTTTTGGACTATGCCAATAACGTGCCATGAGCCACAATAAGCCAATCAATTTTAACTTCAATGAAAATATCAAAATTAATTTGCTAATTTCATTTCGAGTTCAGCTTTTAAAAAAACGCTAGTTTAATTTTAACAAAAATAATAAAGAGAAAGTAAAACACTGGACGCTGGCCTTGAAAAATAAATAGCAAAGTGTGCCCCTTAATTGAATTTTCGGCGGAATTTGAGCACAAAGGTGCGCCGTGCGAGCGGAATGAGGAACCTTGCTTGTGCCCAACAATTATGGTCCAACCAAAGCGACAACCCTGTGAGCTGAGCTGGCAAGGAACAGAGAATAATATGCTTCCGCAGAGATTACTTCGCGAGTGTGTGTGTGAGTTTGTTGTGAACGTGTGTGTACACGCACGATAACCGGCGGCTGTTGCCAGTTGCCTTTTACTTTGTTTCTCACTGTGAGAGAAAAAAAGAATCAACTGCCAAGATAAATAATTTTCAGCATCGCGAGTTTTTACCTGGCGCTTGCTTGCCAGAGCGGAAAAATCGCGAGAATTTTTTAAAACGCGCTCGGCGCTTCTTCTACATTGACAATTGGAGGAGGTGCATTATAAATCAGAAAATGAATTTATTTTTCAGTGCTAGAATTGAAACTCGCAACTTCCTGGGGCGTTTAGAGCGCACGACGTGCAAACAAAGCACGACACGGTTCTCGGGAAAAGTTTTTTACACGGTAATGGAACGACCAAAATTATGGGGCACGGACCGGCTAAAATCAATACTGCTGTGCACACTTTGGCACTCTAGAGAGGTCGGGCCAAATAGGTAAAAATTCTAACGACAAAATCGACCAGCACCTCTAACACCTTTAAATTTGCCACAAATTTAAAGACGGAGTCAAGAAAAAAAACGAAAAATTTTAATGCAAAATCTACATGATTTTATTCCAAATTAAACCTTAACTTGCATATCAATAAATATTTATTCTCAATTTTAATTTAAAATAAATTAATCTTTCTTCATTTAAATTAAAAAATTTATGAGATTCTTGTAATTATATATTATGATAAGGACTAAAGATAAGAACGAAAACTAAGTCAACCGAGGCTCATTGTGGCGGTTGGGGTCTTTTTTATTTCGAAAGTTTTAGCAAAATATGCTGTTTTATGCAACAATTCCTTTCTTTTCAAATATATTGTTTCAACATTTTAATGTAAACAGTGTAATCAATTTGGTCAAATAAACTACAATAATATATTAATTTAAATTGATTTTTAAATTTCAAAATCTGGTTCAACATCAAATCACCTTCCTCATCCTTCAAAATCCCAACAACCAAACCCATCCTATGCGCCTCTCTCCCCGGCCCAGTGGGTCGCAAGGTCACCTTGTTATCGGCCCCGAAAGGACCTAAATCAATGGGGAGAACCCAAGTTATCGGCCCTTGCGATTTAGCAGCCGGTCTGCTACAGCTGGTGCCTTTCCCAAGAGGGATAAACAATAAAAAATAAAAAAAATCGTCTTTAACCTGGCTTGATTCAATTAATTTGATATGTGAATTTGTGTGAAATTATATTTGTTTGTTCAAATAATAAACTACTAGTTTAGAATAATTTCACGGTCAAGGGATGATTTATTAGCGTTTTTTTTTTATTACGGCTTTTCCTCAACGGGAAATTTGAGACGTTTATTAAATTTGCTTTAAATAAATTACAAAAGTGTAAAAAAATAAACCGTTTAGGAAAAGCCTAATTTCAGTTCAAACATCATAAGAAATTTGCCTCCGGAAATATCAAACTGAATCAAACTAGATTTTTTTTATCCTTTTGTTGGTCGCAATTCGCAATTGAAAGCGCAGACAGCTGTGATCGAGAAGCAAAGGTCAAAATCTGTCACGCGTTTCTCTTTTCCTCATCGGCAGGCGTCCCCTGGGTCATTTATTTCCCATAAAATTTCTCGCGCCGGACAGCCCTTCCGCCCCAATCGACCAGCAATTAGGCGGTGACAGTGCCACACACATGAACAAAGGCGGCGGATGAGTGAGTGAGTGAAATGAATAAATTTTCAAATTGCCGTCTCCGTTTGTCTGGCTCGCAGCAGTCGAGCCCAAATTGCTGCAATTGGCTCAATTGGGGCCTCCGTCCTCGGCGGCGGCGAACCGAGCAGGCAGGCAAATGCACCCAGAGCGCAGTCTGGCAACAATGGCCGGGTCACGTGACCACCCAAATCATAAATAATGGGCCTGGGGGAGGCACGCCTCAAGAATGCTCGCTCTCTTCATCGTCTTCTCAAAAAGCAGCTCTATTCATATCTCGCCTCGTCGGTCGGGCGCCGCTTCTCAGAGTTTCTTTTCCGCCTGCCATGATATGTACATATGAACGGGGAGAGAACAAGAGGCGGCCATGCAACTGATGCAATTCGCGGATGTTCCGCGAGGGGGTGACTCCCGACGACGATCAACAGGTCCCAACGGAACGCACAACAGGCGGCTTCCAGACCCACTCAAGGGCCCCCTCTCTTCAAATCAACTTCTAAACTTATTAATATAATTAATAAATTCAATCAGTTTAAATTTTATTAAATAATAATTAAAAACAAAATTTTCAGTCGAAGGAATTTTTTTAATTATTCATGTTATAATCAAGGCTCGGTGAAGTTCAACAGCCTTTGGTTATGCATGGCTCGGCAAGAACATCAGAATTATAATAGTCGAGGTAGAATTTCAATAATTTCGCACGCCAGGCAAAATTTTATTGTTTGCGAAAATAAATCAATATGTACTGGCCGAACAAACACACCGAGTTCGCAACAACAATTAAGCCACGTTGATGCGAAACCGCGAGTGACGAAAATTAGCCACGTGAATTTAGCGCCCAAACAACGCCAAAGATAAAAAAAAATCGGGAAAATTCCAATTGTAAACAAAAGGATGGCGCAAGCATTCCGGCCGAACGCGGCCCGATTCGGTGCGCAATCAACTGGTACAGCATTTGATCCAACGAGGAATTTCGTAAACGATGCAATTCTGCCGAAATTCGTGGTTGTTCGCCGTAAAACAGAGGCGGAAAAGGAAATTGTTCAAGTTGTTTCGTATTTCGGAGGCCATTTGCGTGACAGATGGCCGGTGAAAACCGGTTTTCCAGCGCGCTTCGATTCGCTTCAACAACTCGATTGAGACGCATTGATTCGTACATTGAGCGCTAAATGAATCGCGAGTCGTGATTCTGCACGTCGGAGATGCTGTCCTCGGCTGCCCCTCGGAGGCGGCGGGGGTGGGAGGCGGTCGGCAAGAGTGCCGCCCTCCAGGGAAAACCGGTTGCCGACGGATCACCGGCCGCGAGTGGGCCTGCGCGACCACGTGTTGCGGCCCACCACGGGCCCATACTTACACCAAAGGCTGGGCCCGCCTGTCTGGCGAAGGGCCGGGGCCGCGGAGGCCTGCTGGGGGCAGCTGTGGTGGCGGCTGACGCGTCCTAGGGCGGCAACACCCAGCGACACTTCTCGATTCGTACACAAGTCTATTCCAACACACACAGCTCTTGGCCACGCACTGAAACTGACGGATGCAACGCGGGAACCCCTTCCCCTCGCGGCCGCTAGAGGGGAGGGGGCCACCGCTCCCCGCTTAACGCTGACCTACCCCAACTAAAGCCTACCATAGTATAATTTTTTTCACTCGCTGATCTTTTTTGTCACATTTCGAACACGTGTCCTTCTCGGTGGCCCGCATTCATTGAAAATAAAAAATGATTTATGGTAATCGTTTCTCGCCTTTGTTTTTTTTTTCATTGTGACTATTTTTTTGTCCGTCAGCAACTTTAAAAATAATCGTGTTTAGAGTGTATTTATACACTAACTTTTAATAATAAACATTTTAAATAATGCCTGAATTGTTATTAAAGTTCAATAGTTATTACGCATTACAATTCATTTTTGTAAAATTGTGTATAACTGACTATGACAAGAAAATTTAATTTTTTTAAGAAAAAGCGGAGAAATAAAAGAAAGGACAAAATAAGACGCATAAATTTCAAGACGGCTTGCTGGCAGCAGAAAAAGCCTAGAATTAGGTTCATTAAAAAAAGAACTTTAACGAAAATATATATTTATTATTATTACAGAAATTCCAATTGGAATTTAAAATCCAGTCAAAAATGAAAGAGAAGAAAATTTTGGAAAAATTTAGAAACGACAACCTCTCTAACAAGCAAATTGCTAAAACATGAGGACAGCGCCAAGATGGGCCGCAAGCTAAGATATATTAATCATGTATTTGTAAATTTATTACTAAAGTTTTAGCACTTTCACTTCAAGAAAATGATTGAAAAATAAATTAGTGGAATGTAGTTGAAGTTGATTTTTATTTCGTTTGAGAAGTATGAAATTTTCAAACTAAAAATGATGCAAATTTCAATATTGGTTATGATCTCCATTTTTCATAACAATTGGCAAATTATCCCTCATTCAGAAAGGACAACCAACACAAAGGACTTAATTATTTTAAATTATTTTCATGAAAGTCAATAATTTCTATAAATTCATGAAGAAGAGGAAAACTTTATTGAAGTTTGATTATTAATATGATAAATTTAATAATGATAAATTAAATGAATAATCATATATAAATACTTAGTAAAAAGAATAATATTAAAGAAAAACAAAATAAAGATTTGCAAACAACAGTTATTACAGCAGAAGCGGGTACTTATTTAAACTTAATTCCTTACAATTAATTCCATACTGTGTAGACTTATTTTAATGTTAAAGTTTTTGTTGTTGCATATTTGTTGGGAACGGCCACGTCAATCAGCATACTGTCTGGGGTGATAACTTTAGACGGCGGGCGTTTATTTGAGTAAAAGTCTGGTCTAATCACCCTCTCGCTTTTTCGAAATTCCGCTGAAAAAAAGACTATGGCACTGAAAACAATGCTGGTCCGTCTTTGTCCCTGCGTGCTGTGGATAATTAATGAGGCAGGTGATGATTCTTTGGCCGGCCGAGCAGAACAACGGCCGTTAGCACAATGAGTTATCGCGTTTGGAGCGCAGCCAGCGGACACTTACGACAAATTGTAACCCTTGTCTAATTGATGGCGCGCAAGCTAAGCCGCGACACATAAAATTGTTAAATTCGCGCGCGCGCCGCGGCCGATTCATCTGCATGCATTCCTCACCTTATTAATTGGGCGCAAGTATTACAGAACAATTAAATACACATAGAGTAAGCGCTTTTTCTCTCCGACTTAGTTAGTTGAAGACGAGCAGTGGAATTATCACGCCGTAATGAATGTGACCGTAGCGTTGCTAATATTGCACAAGCCGCTCATATATTTAAACGAAGGCGAGCTGAGCTGAATGAAAAATTAACTAGTGCGCACTCATCGCGGACGACTTCAAAGAGAAATTTTTCATTTGACCACTTTTTTAGTTCATTCACTCTCTGTTCCAACTGAAATAACATACAACCAAGAGTGACAAAAATATTTATAATCTCAGATGTATTTCACTTTCAATAATTAATTACTTATTTGTGGTTTGCAAATCGTTACAAATTGACAAGTTATTCATTCAATGGGTGCTTCACTATTTTTTGTAATTGATCTCAAAAATAAATAATAATAATAATAATATAAGTCTCGCAACTAGAATTGATAAAGAGTTTCTTTTGATTTCATTTATTTAGCCTGTTTAGCCATTTTTATTAATACAATACATGATTAGTAAAAAACTTCTTTCCTAGAAACAGGCTTTGACCTCGTTTTAAAAATTGTTTTTATTCAAAACAAAACTGCTCCAATTATATTTAAAAACAATTTTTACGACGAGTTCAATGCCCGTTTTCTTCACTTCCATAATTATTTATATTATTATTATTATTAAGTGAAGGTCATAATTATCAGACACGGGCAAAAAGTGATTTGTATGTTCCTGCTCAGACTTGGTTAATTTCTAAGCAGAACCCTTTGACTTGTTTAGCTGCTTTGTATAACAAATTGCCTGTTTCGATTCGCTTAGAGCCTCGATACAAGATTTTTGAAAGTAGTTTGAGGCGATTTGTTCATTCACATAAATTTTATAGCAAAGAAGAGTTTTTTCAACTAATTGATACATTGTAATATTTTTGTTGTTTTTTACTCTCTATTAAAATTTTCTACTTGTTTTGTACTATGTTGCAAATGGGGCGCGTCGCAATGAGTAATTACATCGTGGTGACGCCTCATACGTCAATAAAGATCAATAATAATAATATCTCCTCAAGTGCCAATTTCTTCAGGCAAACTCATAATTTCTTTTTGAATGTGAAAAACTAAAAAAATTAATAATTCTAAAACTTTTCCCAGTATGTTGATTTAAAAAACGATTGATACTTTACATAAAAAAAATTAAAAAATGAGAATATCTGATTATTATATTACTATTATCAATATTTATTTATTGACATAGTGTATATTATGCTCTCAGCCATTTGAGTTGGGACAGGGACAAATAATTTATTATTTTATTGGAAATGAAGAGGTCGGGCTTTTTCCTCATTGTAAAAAGCTCTAATTCTTCATATCCGCATGATCATCTCCTCGAGTGTAATCTTCTTCAAATATTAATTTTTTACAATTATGTCAAAACATCCAACTTGATCCAACAATGGGATTAGCAAAGAAGCATTTTAAATTAAGAAAAATTACAAAAAATGGGTCACTCCACATGTACTTGTTGAGCTTTGCAAACTTTAATTGTTAAAATGTGCAAAAAATCAACAATGCTATGCGCGCAGCCGCTGAAAATTCTATTAATATATCTAATAGAAAAAAAATAAAATAAAAGGGTAGAACCTTCACTATTTGAGATTATGAACGACAACATTAGTATTTTGTAATGTCCGCGGGAAAATTCATACAGCATTTTCTAGAATAAAGAAAAAGGCGAGTGCATTTTTTTCTTTTAGGTGCGAGAATATATAAATAAAAACGAGAGAGGAAGCTTCATGAAAAGCGTCGACGTGACACACAGGAAAGGAAAATCATGCTGCGGCTGTTCCTAGATGGGGGGAAAATAATAAGTGGTTGAGCGGCACCTGTTGCTGCTTCATTTGATCCTTACAAAATTTCGCTCGCTCTCGCAGATACACATCGCCAAAATACAAAATAGCAGAGTCTCATTACACGAGCGAGTGTTTCTTGCGGCTGCCACTCGGCCCGCGTGGCGTGTTCGTCCAGCACTACGAAACGAGAATTCGCTACAATTTCTTTACTTCGCTCAAACTCATTGCGAAACTCGAGGGTTGCCGACTCAAATTAGACGAAAAATAAATGAAAAGCGGCTCGGAGAAAATAATAGGATGCGCGCGGCCCCGCAGGAGCCGCTAAGTGCGCCGCACGTCAAACTTGCTTAAATTTCCCAGCCGTGCCGCAGCCGCTGGGCGAAAACAAGAATACCACCCTCTTTATGCCAACATTTGATTCTCCTCCCTCGGTTGTTGAATAATAAATTTTAATTCCGCGCAGCAATTCTCGTGTCAAGTTTAAGACGGCGCATTTTTGTGGTATTACCTTGGCGAAATGAGAAACGCAGCCACTCTAGCTTTCTGCGTGTATCGCCAAAACAAATAGTCGCTTCTCCCCATTACAATAAACAAGAACGTGAGCGCAGAAAATGCGAACGTGTGTGTTTTATGGTGCAACACTTTTCTTTTAGCAGCCCTGCTTTCTTTCTGCTCTGCGGAGCAAGTCCCTCAAAATGAAAGAGCCTCGCTGCTTTTTTGATCGACCTCAACGAGAGCCCAGCACGTTTGCAATACACTCAAAAAAATGTGGCATTTGAAAAGCTTTGCAAACAAACATCGGTCCTATATACATAGGCAGTGGAAAAGGCGCTTGATGTTTGCTATTGAAACGCAGCTTTGTGCCAAAAAATTATACTTAATTTTGTATTCAATGAGATTAAAAAAAACCAAGTAAGAAATATTAAAAAAAGCATTAAATTAGGTACTAGGGTGCAAATACCACAATAAAAAATGTCTTTCATTTCATTTTCGAAAAATCTATCTGGAAAAAAATTGTTCAACAGAGTGAAATGCCAAAATTGTATAACTTATGAATAAAAAATAAAACTGTGAACCAGAAAAATTTCAAAACAAAGTTGGGAAAATTTGAGCGTAATAGTTGTCAGGATCAAATTTGCCTATTAATCCAGAATAGGGCTGCGTTGATTTCTGTTTTAATTTCAGTTTTTTTTTTTCATCTACCAGCGTTTTAAGATTGTAGTTAATACAATAAGATTAACTTTTTATTTCTTTTAGAAAAGGTCTATCAGCAACTATGCCAACATTTAATTAATTATCAAAATCAAAGTGTACATGATTTCTGTGGAAACCCCACTCCAAATTCAAATTCACTAATATTCAGTTAGTCAAGCTCTCGTCCTGCCTGCAGTTTATGTGTTTGTATAAACATTCCCTCAAATAAGAGTATCATCTTTAGTATGTTTGCACACTTTCCCCTGCAACATTAAATTGGCTCTCGCCCTCCGCTCTTCGGCCCTGGTCACATCTTCGGCACATTTT